GCTGGGTTCGGCTTGCTCACTTCGTGCACTCCGAGTGATTCCGTTCGCACTCCAGTCCCGTTCGGGTATTACCTTTTAGCTTTTCAGATAACGGCTGGAGTGCGATCGGAGTAACTCGGAGTGAGCAACCCGAATCCAACTTGTGAATGGGATCAGGTTCCGATTTTATCGCGAACAGTTTTGGAAACGAACAAAAACTGCAGAACCTTGCTCCAGACTGTCGAATACGTGAACGAATTGCGAATGTCTCAAACTTGAAGTTAGCTTAGCCTGGGACCGGTGGAATTTGTTCAGAATCGGTTCCGAATCGTTTCTGGTGGAAGCATGGAAATATAACGACAAAAACACATTTTATTTTGCACTGATTATCGCTATGAATTTGATTTTGCTTGTCATATTTCTGAATTTGACAGCTGACACGTCGGCTGTTTCTGTTTACACTTTTTTCCCTGCATTCCCGCACCACACCGGTTTCTTATTTTTGGTTATTTAAGGCGATTGCTTAAGGCCATGTTGATATTATTTCTTTTTTCTGAGTGAGTATCTCCAACCTATAACCTACCTGTTTGCAAAATTTCATCTCGATTGGTTTAGTAGTTTTCGAGATTTCGTGTTTAATCAGTCAGTCAGTCAGTCAGTGAGTGAGTGAATTTCACGTTTATATAGATGTTTTGTTTGAAGTTTTAACTATATTTATCTGATCTGTTGTGATTTTGCAACTATACATTAAAGACATAAAGATATTTATGTATTATTGTCTGGCTAGCCAAACGGCGAACTGGAATAGAATTTTTTGCTTTGCTAAACTTGACGGAAACAGTAATAAACAAGTTGGTGACATATTTTTATTTGCTATATGGGCATGTGTAGTATTTTGAAATAGAAAAAAATCTGGCAACGCTGCGAAATGATGGATGTGGAGAGGCGTGATTATTCAGAGGCATAATTCTATTGGTTAGAGCCTAAGGTTAGAACCTGCACAGTGGCGTGGTTATTGGCGAAACTTGCAAAAAAAATTCTAATAATTTTATTGGTTCATTTCCTTGGAGTTTTCGGTGCCACTGAACCCAAAGACATGGCTGTCATCAAGCGGTGTCAGTTGAGGTGTCAGTGAATAAATATTCTTAGGTCACGCCCCACTTTTCTTCCCCCTTCCGTCTCTAACAACTTACCACTTGCCAGACTCCAATTCGGAACAAAAATTATTATACAGGGTGTCTCAAAAATTATATTTGAAACCAAGTTACACCCTAATAACCACTCAATAACCAAAATAACGCTTAAAACAAATGGGTTCAAAGTTTTTACATAAAATATTTTTGAAATATTCTATATCATAATTTAGTATGAGTGAGTGATATTTTAGGTTATCATAGTTTTGTAGCAGTTATTGACTTGTAACGGGCACGCTAAAAAACAATGTTTATAACAAATACCAACAGAATATGTCGGGTAAACTCTTGATTCTGCTGAACGATTCAACTATTCAATCATAGAACGTCACCTTCCGAATGACAGGTCACCACACAGAACATAGTGTTGAAAATTATAAACACTGAAATTATGCATGCAAAAATGGCGACCGTTTACAAAACATGTTTGGTTTTAACACAAATTCAACGTAGCGTTCAGCAGAACAATCGCAAACCGTTTACCAACGTTTGTTGACCATTATTGTAAAGATATGAGCGCATGTTTTTTAACTGGAACTATTAGCAGTGGGACTTGGCATAGACGTTTAGGACATTTGAATGGTGGATATATTGAAAAAATGTACAAATTGGTTGATGAGCTTGAATACCCACTAAGGTCGGCCAGGTTCGCAATTATGGAAACCATAGACCTCACGGCTTCGGGATTTTTTTTTCTTCACTGAATCGGCCAAGAGAAATTGATGGAGATTATTTTCAAATTTCTAGGATGACCGCCAGGGGGCGCAATTACGATGATATAGCTAAAAATTCAACTTTTCTCAAGAAATTGCTATATTAAGATACTGTTTTAACAACAGAAATCAAAAGTTCATTCATTTTTGCGCCAGTTTGGTTATTAGGCTTTTTTTCGTATCTTCAGTAATGAGGGTGAATTTGAAAGCATTGACAATTTTACATTGTATTGCCAACATAATGTCATTTTGAATTTTATCTTTAAAAAAAAACACAGACTTTATAGTCAATGTTACGAATACAGATACGTCAGATTCAGTATGGGAAGAATCCTCTTCATTGCAGGAGACTGTAGAATCAGACAGAGTCAGTGACAGCTGCAATAATGTATGAAAATTCAGTTGAATACTCAGAAGTAGTTGACAACAATGGCAGTGACTATAACCCTGTGACAGAGAATGAGAAAGTTGAAGCTGATCACAGAAAGTTTCAAAGAATACAAATTTTGACGAATATGTGACCTATTTGTTCACTGAGGTGACGTCAGAAAGTGATGGTGAGACACATGATATTCCAGTGACCGTTTCTGAAGAACTTTCCAGAGTTGATGGGTACAAGTGAAAGCATGCCATGTTGATTGCTGGACGAGATCAGATCTTTTGAGGAGAGCGAGACCTGGGAACTCGTTGATCTACCAGAGCAGGGAACAGTAGTAAGTAGCTCCAAAAAATCAAAAGCAACAGTGATAGTGAAATAAGAAGATATCGTGAGAGATTAGTGGCCAAATGATTCACTCAGCGACTATCGACTATACTGAGACTTCTGCACCAGTGGTAAGACATTCTATATTAAGACTATTAGTAACATTAGCAGTTCATATTGAGTTGAAAATTATGCATAGTGATGTAAAAACAGCGTTTCTCAATGGGGTTTTTGAAGGAAAACGTTTACATGAGGCAGCCAGAGGCTTTTATTTTAAAGGGATAAGAGAACAAAGTTTATAAATTGAAATGGACAGTTTATGGCTTAAAAGAATCCAGTCGAGCTTGGTATGAAAAAGTCGATAAAGTCCTATTTGAAATAAATTATAAAAAATCGTAAGAGTTGGAAGAAGTTATAGTGAGAATTTTATTTCATTAGATCAGGAAGATTACATTGAAGAAATACTCAAAAAGTTTAATATGCCAGAATGTAAGAGTGGTTCCACGCCACTTGATAGTAGTATTCATTACGAGAATATTCAAGGAGGAACTTGTAATCAAAGAATTTCATATCGAAAGTAAATGGGTAGGTAGTCTCATGTATCTTGCCGTTCTTACTCGTCCCGACATAGCTTATTCTGTGAGCTTTCTCATCCATTATAATAATAGCTACACATAATTACACTGGCAGAGTGCAAAAGGAGTGCTCCGGTAGATTGGGCTACCAATAAAAAAGACAGAAAGTCATACAGTGGTATTGTTCTGGTCCAGCTGTCAGCTGGGAAAGTAATAAACAAAAAACTGTAGCACTCTCGAGCACAGAGACTGAGTATACGAGCCTAAGTGAAGCTGCCCAAGATGCTGTATATTTAGGGAACATTTTGTCAGAGTTGATAAATTATAAAAGTGTGTTCAATGAAAATCAAAGTACTGGTAAATTAGCATTTATTCCAATTTTCCAGAAGAGATCCAAGCATATCGATAGGTGAGGCATTATTTTATAAGGGAATTGAATCAGAATAATCAGATAAATATTAATTATCTTCCTACAAAACTGACATTTTAACAAAGAGCAGTGAAACATAATTTGTTTATTAATTAACTAGGTTTAGTTAGTGAGAAATGAGCTTTTGTGATAGTGAGGGTGTTGAAATTAGTATCCCAAAAGCTTATTCAGAACGTTGCATTAGCACCTATGATGATATGTAATGATGATGTTTGTCATTGTGAATTGAGTGTCAATTTTCCTGTATTTTTTAGTCAGCAAGTTCCAATTCTTCGCTCGCGAATAAAGAAGTTCCAGCTTCTCTGCACGCGTACGGTAAAATTTACAAATACACGCCTCATGAAACCCGAAAAACCCATTGTTTGGCGAGGGGATTTTTCGAGTGGATGGCTGATGGGTGGGTTTTCTTGAAGAAATGTGTGAAAATTCTGTACGTGTGTATACGAATGAAGCGTGATGGGTCACTCTGTAGGGGTTTAAGGGCTTAAAATTTGGTGAGTTTGATTTATCGTACCCAATCAATAGTCAATAAACCTACCTACCTATACTGTATTAGAAAAAGATCGGAAAGCCATGAAAGTATGATCGCCGATATCCAGTATTAGATATAGGTAACTAAATTTAATTTTTTTACTCAAATTAGTATAAGTTTTATGATAAAAAAGTCTCAATTCAACTTGAGACGTTTGGTAACGGTGTGAATAAAACTGTGTAGTTTTTCACCGATGGATTGAATGATTGAAAAGGAACAAAACAGTGAATAATTGTCACAATCTGTCTTCTTTGAAATGTATGATTCAATAAATATAGCATAAACTTGAATAAAGATAAGTTGTTCAGTTACAAAGAGGCTACCGCACAAATGTAAAGAAATGAAAATTTTCAAAATTTCCTAATTCTCGATATACGTATAATATGCTATGTTGTGAACAAAGATTAAAACAAAAACATTCATATGGGTATTTAAATAAAATATAGGTATTTAGTAGCAGAAACTATTTCACAAAAAAAAGCTCTTTGTAATCCTTAATATGAAATTTTGTAAACCAAAGTAGACTACACACATGGCAAACATGTTTTTGAAGAAACAAGACAATTTAAGTAAATTTATGACAATGTTAAAAGATAAAACAACAAACTCTGAAATATTTGACTTTATTTAGTGAAGACCCTATCTGTAACAGAAAAAAAAAAACTAGACACGAAACTTAGTCATAGTTGGTGGTAATAAATAACCCATACTGAGCAAGTTTTTTTTGAACCATAAAACATGTTGTTATTTAAAACCTTTCAAGTTGTCCAAACACAAAAATTATGTACCATTACCAGGCAGTTAAGGAATAGCCAGAAAAAGACGCGATTTTGATAAACTAAAATTAGTGAATAGGTATGTGCATGGGTACTTACTTCCAAACTAGAATTACAGCTATGAAAACAAGTAGTCCGAGTAACACTGAACACAGAGCTATCACAGCCAAGGTCTGGGAAGATGCATCTATAAGCTGAAAAGAAAAAATACATTAAATTAGATATATGTAATAGTTTAAGTTTGAATTAAATGTTTTAATTTATTGTAGATAAGTATATAAGAAATTACTGTTTAGATACATATATCTAATACTTAGAAAATCAAGTTAAATAAATCTATTATTTAGAACCAATAATTGATAGGTACATAGAATTTTATTCAATTAAAAATTACTGTTCCACTCCACACCAGTAATATTATCTCACATGTTCCCTCTCTATTTTCCATGGTTTCCCAATTTCAAATAAAAAAACAAAATTTAATGGTACCCTTCTCGTAATATAAACTTAATATTAAAATTTTAATTTTAGTATTGTAATCCGACCCATAAGCTCTCCAGATGAATAGCTGCTGTTCAATGTATGCCATAAAGATAAAAAAGTGGTAATTACTCAAAATCCCTTTTTCCGATTTTATTAAAACATTGCAGGATGGCTTTTACCGGAATTGGATTCATGTGGTGTTTATGCCAGTACACTTAGGATAGCCTCCTCAACGGCTAGTGTCCTACAGGGAAAAGTTTGATGCGTTGTAGAAAAATTCAATAGGAGTTCAACTTGGTAAAGGCATATGTATAAATTAGAAGAAGATGAAGAAACAAATGCCAAGAATTATTTTACTTCTAAGTGAGAAGTATGGAACTTTCTATGCAGCTAAAAGCATGCCATTATTTTACAAATTGTACAAATGCATGTGCCTTATTTCAAAATTACAAAGTCAAATAATTAAAGGGATTTTTGTTTACTATTAGGTCAGTGACCCCTGGCCAATCTACCTATCTCGGTTTTTACAAACCCTTTCTACCCATATTCCATCACAAACAATATAAACAATAATTAACAACAAATAATAGCAGGCTGAAGCAGTGTAATTTGAAGAAAAAAGAAAAAGGATGCTTTTACCTGTGAAAATATAAAAAGTCAGTACCTATTTACTCTTTAGAGAAACTGGTAGGGTTTGTAGAAGCCGATCCCAGCAACTGGCCAGAGGTGAGCATGGATATGATTTCGGAAAAAAATTCACATGAAGGGTATAGGTAGATAGATAAGTAGTAGTAAAATGCAGGTAGAGCAACCTTCTCCAAACAATGATTCCCTTATATGCTTATTGGATAGAAACTTCTAAAAATTTGAACACACACACACTAGAAAATGAGTAGGTATTTAATTATGAACGACATAATGGCTTTATGCTCTTGGTTATGGTTTGTTTCTTGATGGTTTGTGTGCCTTGACTGCCTTCTGCCTGTTTTAGAGATTTGGACAGGCTTATAAATAAAAATAAATAATGATTATAATGAATTAAAAAGTTGGGTTCCATAGCCACCTAGTAGGTGATTTCTAAAAATTTCAGTGTCGTCATTATTAGTACTTGTCTTATATTCTAGGCAGTCAAATCGCTAGAATAATCAATTAAATATATTTAATGACGTCATCATCAGTATTTGTCTTGTATCCTTGATGGCCAAATGCCTGGAATTATCGATCAATCAGATAATTTTAATGATGTTATCATCATTACGTACCTTGCAATTTAATTCCGTGACGTCATCACTGATACTTACATTAAAAAGTCAAATATAAATTTTTAAAAGGCCAAAGTGGTTGCGCTAATTCCATAGCCACCTAATAGGTGATTTTTAAAAATTTCAGTGACGTCATTATTAGTACTTGTCTTATATTCTAGGCCGTCAAATCGCTAGAATAATCAATTAAATATATTTAATGACGTCATCATCAGTATTTGTCTTGTATCCTTGATGGCCAAATGCCTGGAATTATCGATCAATCAGATAATTTTAATGATTTTATCATCATTACGTGACTTGCAATTTAATTCCGTGACGTCATCACTGATACTTACATTAAAAACTCAAATATAAATTTTTAAAAGGCCAAAGTGGTTGCGCTAATTCCATAGCCACCTAATAGGTGATTTCTATAAATTTCAGTGACGTCATTATTAGTACTTGTCTTATATTCTAGGCCGTCAAATCGCTAGAATAATCAATTAAATATATTTAATGACGTCATCATCAGTATTTGTCTTGTATCCTTGATGGCCAAATGCCTGGAATTATCGATCAATCAGATAATTTTAATGATTTTATCATCATTACGTGACTTGCAATTTAATTCCGTGACGTCATCACTGATACTTACATTAAAAACTCAAATATAAATTTTTAAAAGGCCAAAGTGATTGCGCTAATTCCATAGCCACCTAATAGGTGATTTTTAAAAATTTCAGTGACGTCATTATTAATACTTGTCTTATATTCTAGGCCGTCAAATCGCTAGAATAATCAATTAAATATATTTAATGACGTCATCATCAGTATTTGTCTTGTATCCTTGATGGCCAAATGCCTGGAATTATCGATCAATCAGATAATTTTAATGATGTTATCATCATTACGTGCCTTGCAATTTAATTCCGTGACGTCATCACTGATACTTACATTAAAAACTCAAATATAAATTTTTAAATTGCTAAAGTGGTTGCCCTAATTCCATAGCCACCTAATAGGTGATTTTTAAAAATTTCAGTGACGTCATTATTAGTACTTGTCTTATATTCTAGGCAGTCAAATCGCTAGAATAATCAATTAAATATATTTAATGACGTCATCATCAGTATTTGTCTTGTATCCTTGATGGCCAAATGCCTGGAATTATCGATCAATCAGATAATTTTAATGATGTTATCATCATTACGTGCCTTGCAATTTAATTCCGTGACGTCATCACTGATACTTACATTAAAAACTCAAATATAAATTTTTAAATTGCTAAAGTGGTTGCCCTAATTCCATAGCCACCTAATAGGTGATTTCTAAAAATTTCAGTGACGTCATTATTAGTACTTGTCTTATATTCTAGGCAGTCAAATCGCTAGAATAATCAATTAAATATATTTAATGACGTCATCATCAGTATTTGTCTTGTATCCTTGATGGCCAAATGCCTGGAATTATCGATCAATCAGATAATTTTAATGATGTTATCATCATTACGTGCCTTGCACTTTAATTCCATGACGTCATCACTGATACTTACATTAAAAACTCAAATATAAATTTTTAAATTGCTAAAGTGGTTGCCCTAATTCCATAGCCACCTAATAGGTGATTTTTAAAAATTTCAGTAACGTCATTATTAGTACTTGTCTTATATTCTAGGCAGTCAAATCGCTAGAATAATCAATTAAATATATTTAATGACGTCATCATCAGTATTTGTCTTGTATCCTTGATGGCCAAATGCCTGGAATTATCGATCAATCAGATAATTTTAATGATGTTATCATCATTACGTGCCTTGCAATTTAATTCCGTGACGTCATCACTGATACTTACATTAAAAACTCAAATATAAATTTTTAAATTGCTAAAGTGGTTGCCCTAATTCCATAGCCACCTAATAGGTGATTTTTAAAAATTTCAGTGACGTCATTATTAGTACTTGTCTTATATTCTAGGCAGTCAAATCGCTAGAATAATCAATTAAATATATTTAATGACGTCATCATCAGTATTTGTCTTGTATCCTTGATGGCCAAATGCCTGGAATTATCGATCAATCAGATAATTTTAATGATGTTATCATCATTACGTGCCTTGCAATTTAATTCCGTGACGTCATCACTGATACTTACATTAAAAACTCAAATATAAATTTTTAAATTGCTAAAGTGGTTGCCCTAATTCCATAGCCACCTAATAGGTGATTTTTAAAAATTTCAGTGACGTCATTATTAGTACTTGTCTTATATTCTAGGCGGTCAAATCGCTAGAATAATCAATTAAATATATTTAATGACGTCATCATCAGTATTTGTCTTGTATCCTTGATGGCCAAATGCCTGGAATTATCGATCAATCAGATAATTTTAATGATGTTATCATCATTACGTGCCTTGCAATTTAATTCCGTGACGTCATCACTGATACTTACATTAAAAACTCAAATATAAATTTTTAAATTGCTAAAGTGGTTGCCCTAATTCCATAGCCACCTAATAGGTGATTTTTAAAAATTTCAGTAACGTCATTATTAGTACTTGTCTTATATTCTAGGCAGTCAAATCGCTAGAATAATCAATTAAATATATTTAATGACGTCATCATCAGTATTTGTCTTGTATCCTTGATGGCCAAATGCCTGGAATTATCGATCAATCAGATAATTTTAATGATGTTATCATCATTACGTGCCTTGCAATTTAATTCCGTGACGTCATCACTGATACTTACATTAAAAACTCAAATATAAATTTTTAAATTGCTAAAGTGGTTGCCCTAATTCCATAGCCACCTAATAGGTGATTTTTAAAAATTTCAGTGACGTCATTATTAGTACTTGTCTTATATTCTAGGCGGTCAAATCGCTAGAATAATCAATTAAATATATTTAATGACGTCATCATCAGTATTTGTCTTGTATCCTTGATGGCCAAATGCCTGGAATTATCGATCAATCAGATAATTTTAATGATGTTATCATCATTACGTGCCTTGCAATTTAATTCCGTGACGTCATCACTGATACTTACATTAAAAACTCAAATATAAATTTTTAAATTGCTAAAGTGGTTGCCCTAATTCCATAGCCACCTAATAGGTGATTTCTAAAAATTTCAGTGACGTCATTATTAGTACTTGTCTTATATTCTAGGCAGTCAAATCGCTAGAATAATCAATTAAATATATTTAATGACGTCATCATCAGTATTTGTCTTGTATCCTTGATGGCCAAATGCCTGGAATTATCGATCAATCAGATAATTTTAATGATGTTATCATCATTACGTGCCTTGCAATTTAATTCCGTGACGTCATCACTGATACTTACATTAAAAACTCAAATATAAATTTTTAAATTGCTAAAGTGGTTGCCCTAATTCCATAGCCACCTAATAGGTGATTTCTAAAAATTTCAGTGACGTCATTATTAGTACTTGTCTTATATTCTA